TGGCATTTTGTTATGGCAGCCTTGGCAAACTAATACACAGATAACGCAGCTGGAAGAACACCCCATCAGGTCTCCAAGCACAGCGGTGGGTTAGGTGCAACAGACAAGGCCACAGCGGAAAGGCTTTTTCTGTCAGATTTTCCTCTGTCCACACAGACCCCCGTCTCTGGCCTGGGAAAAGCCAGAGACATCACCCACTCCTGGCACACATTCAATCCCCAATTCCACCACCAGGTCAAGTATCACCTCAAAGATACTCCGACCGCCAGACCGCTCAGGCCACACCACACTCCCCCTTCTGCGAGTCTGCAGCTGACATTCAACAAGTGTTCCCTGTACTGATAATCACCGTTTTTAAATTAGCGAACATGTACTGGTTTTCACAGCAATATAGGTATCTCCCCACCCACCCCCACCCCAAGCGTTAAGTCTTTCACTCGAGCTTTCCCCCAAAAGAGCAGCCCAGGGGTCACATACAACAGGTATTAGTCAACAGATATTTACTGAGCCCCTTGCCATGTGCCAGGCACCGTGAACAAGACAGGCTCAGCACCCACCGTGACGACGCTGACATTCCAGCCAAAGAGACTGACATCCACAGATGACACACGGCATTAACACTGGGACACACGTTATGAGGAGCTAAGACACCGCGTCTGCTGGCTCCCGGGCATCCGGCGGAGGACCTGCCACGCACGCCTCTCCCCGAGCCAGGACATAAACGCGACCCTGCCTCTCCGGGCGCCAGTCAAACCCGTACCGCGCAGACCCCCGCGCCCCCGACAGGGGCAGGCGCCGGCCACAGCAGAACAGCAGCGATGGTGCAGGGTCTCTGCCTTTGTGCGCCGCCACACTCCGCAGGCCGCACTGGGAAGGAGGCTCCCGCCAGGCTGGGGCGGGGCTGGGTAACGGCCCCGTCCTCCGGGCCAGGCAGGGTGCGGGCTCCCGGTGACCCACAGGGTCCGAGACGGGAGATCCTCTCTCTTCAGGGCCATCCACGCCGTCTGTCCGGGAGTATAACAGCACATGCAACAAGGGCAGATGGGCCAATAAAACCAAAGTGCATCTTGGTTTGAAACTAAGCACAAACCAGCGAGGTCCAGAGCCTCTGAGATGTTGATCGTAACTAGCAGGTGGAAATGCATACCTGTAGGCAGATGCACGTGACGGAGGGACTCGGGTGAGCGGCCCGTCCGCCTTCCCCTGGGGACATGCAGCCATGAGGAGGCGCCCATCCGGGCTGAAACATTAACCTGTCTCATCAGCGCTTTTCAAATGTCCTCGGGAATCCAGGCATGATCGGTGCTGCTTTGGGGAACAGTCGGTGCCTCAGAACTTGGAACTGTGTCCCTGGGACGAGCTTGCTCCTGCGGCAGCATCTGCTCTTCGTGGGGCCTCGCCTCTGCCTGGCAAGCAGCTTTTCCGAACCCCGTTCCCTCTAGGCCTGATGCCAGCGGGTTTTACACCCTGAGGGAGTGCTTCAGTGGAACTGGTTATTTTTGGAAAATTAGCTGTTATCTTTTTAAAATATATTTTTATATATCTCAGAGAGGAGGGGAGAGAGAGAAACGCCAATGATGGGAATCATTGATCGGCTGCCTCCTGCACGCCCCCTGTGGGGGTCCAGCCCACAACCGGAGCATGTGCCCTTGACCGGAATCCAGCCTGGGACCCTTCAGTCCACAGGCGGACCCCCGACGCTCTACCCACTGAGAAAAACCAGCCAAGCCTTTGCCTTTATTTTTAGTAATAATTCTGTAGATTGCATCACACTCCACATTTTTATCCCCCTGGAGTCCCACGACAGCCCAGAGGGACTAACATGGTATCACCATTTGATGGGGAAGGAAGTGAGCCTGGGAAGCGGTGGGAAGAGTCCTGCCTCAGTGTCTTAGGCGGAACTCGTTGGGCCTGCTTTGGGGCGCATTTGCAAAATTTAAGGGAGGATAGATGAGGGTAATGTCTTATATCGCTGGGCTGGTGTCGACCTCAGTGCCTGGTAGGTATCGGGAACTTACAATGAGGAGCCTGGTTTGGGGACTCCTGCTGGGGCAGCCTTCTGACTCAGTGCTCTGAGCATGATATTGCTCAGAGTCCTGCCCTGATTCTGATCATCAATACTGGGTAATTTTCATCCAACAAAGATTTTCACATAAAATGGCTTTTATCAGACATCCTCATACACTTTTGGTGGAAGCTAAATAAGCACAAATTTCCTGAAGGAAATCTGGCAATGCATATTAGGAATATGAAGATAGATATTTACCCAGTAATTCCACATCTGATCATTTATCACAAGAAAATAATCAGAGCGTGCACAAAGACTTAAACTGCAAGTTATGCCCTAGCCAGTTTGGCTCAGTGGATAGAGAGAGCGTCGGCCTGTGTACTGAAGGGTCCTGGTTCAATTCTGGTCAGGGGCACAGGCCTGGGTTGCGGGCTTGATCCCCAGTAGGGGGTGTACAGGAGGCAACCAATTAATGTTTTAAACTGCAAGCTATTCTTGCAGTTTAAAATATTTTTTTCTTAAATTTACTGGGCTAACTTTGGATAATAACATATATTTTAGGTGTACAACTTTATAATATAACACCTGTATACTCTATTGTGTGCTCACCCTTTAAGTATTTTTTAAAAATATTTTATAGAGAGGCAAAGCAGCTCTTTGTTCTTGCGGAAACTTGTGCAAAAACGATACCATGTTTGCTGATTGTTTTATATGATTGGCCTTTTTTGTTCTGACAATTCCTTTCAAGCATGTGTAATAGGACGTAAAAATAGGACCCCCTTCTTGTCTCCATTTTGGCTGAACCCTCAAGTCAATAATTGCTAATTACTCCCACATTATAAAGTGAGGTACAAGACCACCAATGCCTAACTTGTGAAGGAGGTGTCTAGAAACCAGTGCATGACCTCCAGTCTATGAAAGAGTTGGAGAGGATGAGAAGGAATTCTGGTAGAATATGTGGCAATAGCTGTCAATGTGCTCTGAGCCCACACTCATCTCATGTCTAGAGAAAGGCAGGCCTCAGCAGGGCTACTGAGAGAGCTTGGTCTGTATCCCCCCAGACTGGCACCCAAAACAGGCTGCTGTGCAATTTGTGCTGAGAAATTCAAGGTGGATGGTCAGAGAACTGATCAGATAGTTGAGCAAAGAGACATTGATGCTTTGGAGAGGTCTTTCATGCCCAGTTTTTCATGACAAAGAATATCTGAGTATCTGCCATGTGAGTGTTTTCCATGCATGAACAATAGTCTTAGACCCCATCCCAGGGGATTCTGGAGGGCTGGAATGACACTCCAAGAGAGCTGACCACTAGATTCTTAGAGGCTCAGGGAGAAAAGTTCAACAGCCCAGACAGAGAGGTACATTTACCCACATCAAGAGATTCCAAGAAATGAGGTGGTAAGGGCTTCCAAAACTCCCACAGAGAATGGGTCAGCACTAAATACTTACCAAGTATACAAAGCACTGATGCCAACTCACAACAGTATCAGACAAAAAAAAAAAAATTCTCCTTACCTCTCCTTTTCCCCACCATTCCCAAACCCTGCAGGAGCCAGAGGCATCCTAGAGTGGGGAAGGAGGAGCAAGAAAATAAAGAATCTAAGCACAGCCGGTTCACCATCGGGTGATGGGAGCCTGACAGCCGGGGGAGAGACCGAGAGGTCAGCTGGTCCTGCCCCCTCGCTGGCCCCACCCCCGCCACGGGTTGCCCTCTGTGTGTGGGGCAACCGGCAGGATGGGGGCCTTGGCCTGGCGCCACCCGCATCCTCGGCCACCCACCCCGGTCCCCACTCGCCATTGGGCGATGGGAGCCTGCCAGACAGTGAAAGGGACCAAGAAGTGGTCAGTGCACCTCACAGTGACTGGTCGAGCGGTCATTCTGGTCGTTCTGCCATTATGGTCACTGGGCTTTATTATATAGGATATTCATGGGCTTTTAAAAAATATATAAGGATGTGATAGATTTCTTAAACTAATACAATTGCTAATATATTTAAATGAGTTAACATGTTTGACCAAAAAATAAATGCTTGCTGAGAACATGAATTTTGTATCCATTTATTATCCAGTTGAATAACAAACTTGCAAATCATAAATGTATATTACGTAGTAAAACAAAGACTATACTGAAATAGACCTCAGTATCTTTATACATTTCCTAGAAATTAAATATATGCACTCTATTATATGTCTTTAAAAAGTTCCAGGATTTTTTCGTTTTTCCATTTGGAAGCCAAATTAAAAGTTAACTCTAATTCTGTGTATTTTGGTGGAGCATTACTACTGTACAATTCCAAATGACAGAGTAGGCAGATTAAGAAATGTAGGCACTCTAAGGACCAGCTTTTGGAGCTTTCTTCAAAAAGTCAGGAAAATGCATACCATAATGTCTGAGTAACAACCCAATGGTTAAGAATCATGAACCACCATTGTGCCTGCGCATGGCGCCGGGGTTCAGGCTGCAGCGCCAGAGCACTTGCTTGCACATAACTGGGGCCAACTGCTCCCCACCGGCGGCCTTTCAAGCAAGAGCAACAGGGCAGAGGAAACAAAAGAATTATGAACCAAACATTTGGTTCAATTCTCTTCCTAGATGCTTTCAAGATATATATTTTTTAAGTGCATGAAAACTCTAAGACTCTCAGGATTCCTGATTTACCAAATATCACAAATCCAGAGGTTAGAAGAATTGAAATCTATCCTTAAATATTTCCGTTATTCTGAAGTTGTGAATTATAATGGTTGTGCCTTTAAATATTTATTTGTGTGCTTTAGTCGTAGAGTGATTTTAAATACTATCATTTTACAATTCAATAACTATGATTCTTCACCATAATCAAGGTGGTATGAAAATAACCAGATACAGCCCCCGCAGGTTGGTTGAGCATAGTTCCATGTACCAACAGGTCACCGGTTCTATTCCCAGTCTGGGAACATGCCCAGGTTGTGGGCTTGAACCCCAATAAGGAGTGTGCAGGAAGCAGCTGATTGAAGTTTTTCTCTCACATCAATGTTTCTCTCCCTCTCTCTTCCTCTCTCCCTCCATAAAAACACTTTAAAAAATAGATACACTATGCATAGTTTGCTGTTATTTGCCATCTATCATGGTTTGCTTATAATAGATGTCCTTGCAACCAAACAACTAACTATAAACTAGCTAATGAATATTTTAAATAATTTTAGATTAGCCTTGATCAATTTAATATCAAAAATATATTTAATAGTTAATCAGCTATTAAAATTTATAAGCAATGTAAAAATATGAATTACCTTTCCCAACTCTGTCTTCTGCTAACCCAAGGACAATCCGTCACAATACTGGGGCTACATGTCTGAGTATGGGCCTTGCAAGTAGCACCCCCACCAAGTTCCCTTGGCCCCATGAGTAGGACAGATCATCTAAAATAAAACCAGTGTCATGCAATGCCATTGAAAAGAAAGTTTTAAAGAGAATTGTCATTTGGGAAGGGGCTCCCTAGTGCCTACAAAATAAAAGCCCCAAATTCTTAGCCTGGTCTTAAGATTAAACCCTAGTTGACCTTGCCAGACTTAGCTACTCCTATCCCTACAAGAATGTACCCTTGAAGCTAGACAGCTTGCTCTTTATTGGGTATGCTTCATGTGCAAAGCCCTCTAAACTGTTGTGCATGCTAGCAGCTGGTCTCCAATTAAAATCAGGGGTTTGAATGTGATTGAGCTTGGCACAAATTCAGTGATACATAAGATAGCTTAGAAATAAGAGGATTTAGGTAACTACATGGACCAGCTCCATAATACCTATAAAGGTATTGTTTTTTATTGTTGACAATCCTATGAAGGTATTTTAAATGCTCATAAAATCATTTTACTCAAGAAGGATTGGGAAAAATAGAAGGTTGGGACTAGATATATCTATTGGGTCAAACAACTTCTCTATAAAAACAATAACAGGTAGTCATGGATTGTATGATATGTGAATAATATTTCACTAAAACTGTCACCAAAAACAAAAATAACCAGGTACAAATTTTCAAAGACTAATGGGCCATTAGGGAATGGGAGTAGAAAATATTGTTTGGCTGCTATCCCTCCATGACCAAATCTTTAAGAAAAGCAAGAGTTGGCCCCCAGGCTTGTGAATTGATGCTCAGATGCGCTCTCAGGATCAGGACTGGCAACTGTCAGATGCTCGGCGGCCGGCTGACCTTAGCAAGGGCGTCACTGACAACACCGAGATCATGCTGCAGCTCATTCATGACGCTGGTTAGGCTCTTGGTGTCTTTCAAGATCTGAATACTTTGTGTATACGGATTATACTTCACTCCAAATGGACGCTTAATTGTTTCGGAAAATTCTCTATTTAAGAACACATATAAAAGGCAATTAATTTCTAGGAAAGAAACAGTGAAAACTAAATAACAGCAAACCTATTTCACACACTAGCCAAAAGACAAATCTAGA